ATGTGGTATACACATACAATGAAACTGTATTCAGCCTTAAAAATGGAGTACATTCTGCAATATGCTACAACATGAATGAATCTTGCGGACATTACGCTAAGTGAAATAAGTCAGTCACAGGAAGATAAATACTTACATGAGGTACTTAGAGTAGTCAGAATCACAGACACAGACGGAATGGTGATTGCCAGGGAATGGAGGGAGGAGGAAGTGGGAAGTTATTGTTTAATGGGCTTAGAGTTTCAGCTTTACAAGATGTCAAGGGTTCTGGAGGTGGCTGTACAACACTATGAGTGTATTAGGTACCACTGCATTGTACACTTAAAAATGGTTAAGGTAGTAACTTTTTTTGTTATGAGTATTTTACTGCAATTAAAGAAAATGGGAGAGGCTGGGCGGAGTGGCTCACACCTGTAATCCCAGCACTTTTGGAGGCCGAGGTGGACAGATCACCAGAGGTCAGGAGTTTGAGACTAGCCTGGCCAACATGGTGAAACCCCGTCTTTACTAAAAACACAAAATCAGCCAAGCGTGGTGGCATGCGCCTGTAATCCCAGCTACTCAGGAGGCTGAGGCAGGAGAATCACTTGAACCGAGGAGGCAGAGGTTGTAGTGAGCTGAGGTCGTACCATTGCACTCCAGCCTGGGTGACAGAGTGAGACTCTGTCTGGAAAAAAAAAAAAAAAAAAAAGGAGAAAAAAATGCAGGGTTCAGTTGCTTGAATGAGGTCCTTTCAAAGCCAGAAACAGGGAAGGAAATGCTGAGTCAGCGGATGCTAGTCTTGAGGGCTGTGCTTTTACTTTTGGCATTTGAATTTGCCAACCCAATAGTCCTATAGATAGATAGATAGATAGATAGATAGATAGATAGATAGACAGACAGACAGACAGACAGACAGATATAGAGAGAGAATTTGACCTTTCTGGTCTTAGAGCTTGAAATTTACTTTTGTTTTATCTGAGTTCCTTCCTCAGGAAAGGACCACCAGCCCTCTCGAAAAGTAAGAAAGAACTGAAACTCATCAGCTCACCCCAGGTCATCTCAACCAGATAGTAAGATGCCAGTCCAGTCCGCTTATTCAACATGATTGCTTCCTTATCCCTCCCTAGTTCCTCTTTTTCCACACAGTGTTATATTTCTTCCCTGCTGCTACATAAGCCCCTAATTTTAGTCAGTCAGGGAGATGGATTTGAAACTGAGCTCCTATCTCCTCTGCTGCAGCACCTGATTAAAAGATTCTTCTCTGGCAATAATCGTGGTCTCAGTGATTGGCTTTCTGTATGGAAAGCAGCAGGACTTAGACCGAACTCCTGGTGTCTTGAGAACAAATTGGGCTGATTTGAGGGCTATGGAGCTAAGAGATTGTGAATCCCCAAAGCTGAGGCAAAGGGTTTGGCCATGGAGATCTGAGAAACTCCATGAAAAGGGTTCAAAGTAAGGAAGAAAACATTGCTGTCCTGAAGAAATGGTTTCAGGAGCCCAAAGCCATGAGATAAAATAAATCACAAAAAAGAGCAGGGAGGAATAATGCTCAGATGATGGCAGATCCCATATTTTAATGACGTCACAGAAGGCAGGACACAACGGGAGAGGAATATTAGAGAAGGAGGATGGTTGCGGGTGGTATTAGCTAAAAGATTTGCAACTCTGCAACCTGTAAATGAATCAGAGGGTGGACTTATAAATTAAGGAGTGGGGTGCATTGGAATTTGGTCGTATTGGCATAAACAAAGAGATGCTTTATTTACCCCAAAAGAAAGCTCATGAGAAAATACAAATTTAAGTTAGATTATTCCCATTAAACCAGAAACTGCCTGGCGAAGCACTCCACATAGCATTTGTAAATACAGTGACACCTAGATATAATCCAATCCACGACTTACCTGCATCGATGTGCTATAAGGGAAATGTGTGTTTCTAAGAACAATGGTACCGATGTCATTCCTAGTCAACCAGTGTCAGAGACAAAGCATTTTAAGCTCAGCAACTCTAGAACCAGCAGGGGAAGAAGTGAGCTCGCCCACTCCGTCACACCCTCCTGAAAATCACAGTGACCCCCAACATCAGAAGCCAGAGGCCTTCCCTTAGGATCATAGGCACTAGGAAATCTGAATTTAAGTGAGCTTGGTTATCAACTGGCCCATACATTTGAGCAAATGTATTGTTTTACTGTGTCTCGTTATGCCTGCAAAACAGAAAAATGCTCCAACATCTGCCAGAGTTATGGAGAGCCAGAGCAAGATCATATATGTAAAATGCAGACAAACATGGATTTCACATTTGACATAATATAATCATCTTTGAACTTCCCTCTTTCATTAGCTCCTAGGATAAACTGTGCTAATTCTGTTCATTCACTTATTAACTTGTTTATTCAATTAGCATTTGTGGAGTGTCCACTTGTGCCAGTTACTCTTCAAGGTCCTAGGGATACATAGAGCAGTGAACAAAATAGAAAAAATTCTCTCTTCCTAATGTAGCTTACCTTTTGACTCACCATCCTTCCATTCACTTTGCTATTTCATTTCCTTTTCTTCAATTAAATATATTTGCTACATGGCCGGGCGAGGTGGCTTACACTTGTAATTCCAGCACTTTGGGAAGCCAAGGTGGGCAGATGGTTTGAACCCAGGAGTTTGAGACCAGCCTGGGCAACATGGCAAAACCCTGTCTCTACAAAAAATACAAAAATTAGCTGGGCGTGGTGGCGGGCACCTGTAGTCCCAGGTACTTGGGAGGCTGAGGTGAGAGGATCACTTGAGCCTGAAAGGTAGAGGCTGCAGTGAGTCAGGTTGTGGCACTACACTACAGCCTGGGCAGCAGAGCAAGACCCTGTCTCAATATATATACGCATGTGTGTGTGTATTTGCAACATGCCAGGACCTATATTAAGCATCTACTGTCTGTTAGCTCATTTAATACTCTGAAAGGCCTTGTAAGAACGACACTTCTTCACTGCATGTTAGAAGAAATGCAGGGCAGAAATGTGGCACAGCTAGCCTCAAGTTTCTTAGCAAGTGCTGCAGCCCTTAATTTGGAGCCAGAGTCTGTTTTTCTTTGCTAAGTCTTCTTTCCGCTCTTTAGCTTTTTTCTCTAATGTCACATCTTTAATGTTTTGCTAATACAAACCCATGTGTGTTCTCCAAGAATCTACTCACTTTAATTAGGCACTTAACCTTTAGGCAGGAGGCCTCAAAATCCTTAGCTCTGGCTGTCACCAGAGATCCAGCCCAAGACGTTGTCCTTATAACAAAGACCCACAAACCCCACAGGATCCCCAAGGACCTGAGTCATCTGGTCCCGCCTCTTGCTGCAGCCTTATCTGCTGCCACCATATTCTGGCCCAGCTTGCCAGCCTGCCTGGCTTCTCAGTGTCATCTGGGTATGTCTTGCTCCCACCTGCTGAAGTTTACCTTGTACTCTTCATGGCTTCGGGGGGCACAACCTTGCGGAGCCCCCCTTCCTGCTGGCCAGCTTGTGTTCACCTATCAGAGGTTAACTCAGAGACCTCAGGTGTCGGCCCCCCACCCTGCAGTCTCATTCGGAGTCCTCTGTTATATTCCTGCAGGACTGGTAAGCCACCTTCCTTGCAGTTATTGGTTTGTAATTACGTTTGCATGATTTCATAGCCACCTCTTCTAGTTGATCTTAAGGCTCCTTGAGAAATGAGGTCCTACCTCTTTTCCTTAACATGTGTGTTTTCAGTACCTGGTGCAATGTATGAGACTCCTGGCTACAAACAGACACAACGTGTGCTCAGGGGCGGTTTGATTTGCCAGAGGCACACCCCACCATCACTTCAAACTCGACCATACTAAAGTTATTTTGCACAGATGCAGACACTGCCCCAGACTTGTCTACTTTCTGGACGACGTTAGAGTCTTTAATGTACTTTATCCTGATTCAGTCTCCCATTGGATGAAGTAACATACTCTGTCAAATCATTTTGCTCCTGTCTCAGCCTCCCCCATCTGACAGGTACAGCACCGAGAGGCTAAGCTTGAATTATTCCTTCTGATGAGCATTCTATAGCTTTGTCATCTCCAAGATTGGCTTTGCAACAATCCTACAACACTTGTGTATTCCTTATAGGACCCTCATTGAACTAGGCCAGATATTTATTTAAATATTTAGAATTATTTTTGGCTGGACTGTAAACCTATAGTTATACATCTTCCCGTGTCAGGCGGTGTCTCATTTCTTTATCTAGAGGTAATTAGTGCAAGAGAAAAAAATGAAGTTTGGAAAAAAACACTTAAAAAGTGATTATGCTATATAAAGAGGGAAAGGTTTTTAAGAAACGATTATGGTATGAGAGGACCATGGATAGCTCAGTATACAATGGAAGGGGCTCAGAGGGTGGAAGGCGGGCGAGGGATGAGAGATCACCGAATGAGAACAGTGTACACGATTACAGCGACGCCTGCGCTAACGCCTAGACTTTATGCAGTGTATCCATGTAACAAAACTGCAGTGGTACCTCAGAAATCTGCACAAAATCTACATAATAATGATGGAGGCCGGGCGCAGTGGCTCACGCCTGTAATTCCAGCACTCTGGGAGGCCGAGGCAGGCAGATCACCTGAGGTCACCAGTTCAAGACCAGCCTGACCAAAATGGTGAAATCCCCGTCTCTACTAAAAATACAAAAATTAGCCGGACATGGTGGCGGGCGCCTGTAATCCCGGCTACTCGGGAGGCTGAGGCTGGAGAATCGCTTGAACCCGGGAGGCGGAGGCTGTAGTGAGCCGAGATCTTGCCATTGCACTCCAGCCTGGGCGACAGAGCGAGACTCCCTCTCAAAAAACAAAAACAAAAACAACCCCAAAAAAAGATGGAAGGAAGGAGGGAATGTAGCAATTCTCCAAATCTACTGACAGTGAAAATGAGATGACGAGGGATTCCAGTTAGAAATGCCGTTTCCTGAGGGTGTGTGTGGCGGGGGGTGGGGGGAACCATAACGTTAATTTGACCCCCGACGTTGGGAGCGCCTGAGTGGTGGCTTTTCACCGGGTGTGGCTCGTCTGAGCTCTTGAACTGAGGCCAGCGGACACCACCCACCGGCGCCTGCTTTCCTGCGGCGTGGGCTCCTCCCCCGTGCAGACCGCGAAGGGAGACGGTGCGGGTGGCCGGGAGCGCAGCCACCCGGGGAGGCGGGCCATGGCCTCGGGGCCGCCCGGGGAGCGGCTGCGCGAGGAGGCGCGGTGCCCGGTGTGCCTGGATTTCCTGCAGGAGCCGGTCAGCGTGGACTGCGGCCACAGCTTCTGCCTCAGGTGCATCTCCGAGTTCTGCGAGAAGTCGAACGTCGCGCAGGGCGGCGTCTACGCCTGCCCGCAGTGCCGGGGCCCCTTCCGGCCCGCGGGCTTCCGCCCCAACCGGCAGCTGGCGGGCCTGGTGGACAGCGTGCGGCGGCTGGGGCTGGGCGCGGGGCCCGGGGCGCGGCGGTGCGCGCGGCACGGCGAGGAGCTGAACCGCTTCTGCGAGGAGGACCAGGCGGCGCTGTGCTGGGTGTGCGACGCCGGCCCGGAGCACAGGACGCACCGCACGGCGCCGCTGCAGGAGGCCGCCGGCCGCTACCAGGTGAGGCGCCCCCCGGCGGGGGCTGCGGGCGCTGCGGGACCGGGAAGCGGGAGACCGTCCGGAGCGGAGCCGCCAAGGCCACCCGTCTCCTGAGCGGCTCCCACGGCCGCTCCCCGCGCCCCGCGCCGTACCCCCCGCCCACGCGGCTCACTCAGTGTGGGTCTCCTTGCCTTGCCTGGGGTAACCCCCTTTGCGACACACAACCATTATTTTACACCGTCCGCTCCTCCCTCAAGCACTCTCCTGTCCTCGAACTCGCGCTGGGCTGGGTTTTCCTGGTGCGGATAGTCTGGTCCCTCAGCTGGGCTCTGGTCGGGAGGGCTGTGGTCCAGTTCATTCTTGGTAACTACTGTACATCTATATCGTAAACTTGCCGTAATAGTTCTCATTTGTGCAATGCTTTGCTTTTGCACAGTGTTTACGTTAAATGAGTGTTGTTACCAAAGCAACCCACGGGTTTGGGCGTTGTTAGGAAGAGTGTCATCCTGGGCACGGGTTCCGATCCCTCCAAAACTCAGGCGCCCGTGCCTCCTGAAGTAGGAGAGGGTGGCCCGCGGGTGGCTCTCCATCAGCAGGGATTTGGGGACTTAGGATTCGAACATCCTCAAAAGGTGTTTCATTTGGAGTGTAGCCCGGGAAGCTTAAAAGAGAAAGAAGAAAAACAAAATGGAAGTATTTGGCCCCCAAAGTGGCATCTGTGAAATTTTGTGTAGAATTCTTCCTACTGGTGCCCTTCAAAAGTTCTTGGGTGTTTTCTGAACACACTTTAATCCCAGCATGTAGAACAACTGCCAGCAGAGAGGAGGTCTAAGTCGTCTTTAATCTACTGACATGTTTAACCAAAGGACTATCAGTCGCGCTGTAGTGCATTGCAAATACTAGCTTTCTTAAAATTTTTATTTGTTTTGTTTTTTTAAATTAAGGTTTAGGATATTTTCCCCTTCCCTCTGGACCTACCAGTATCTCTCTTGGTATGTCTTCTTGATTTTCATTGTCATTGGCGAGATGTAGGTAATTTCTAGTTAAACTTTTCTGCTATGTTCTTGCCTTTTTTTTTTAAAAAAAAAAAGTCCAGAAAGTACCATACAGAGGATTGTTAGTGTAATATTTCTTTTTTCCTTTTTTTTTTTTTTTTTTTGTGGGGGTCTAGCTCTGTAGCTCAGGCTGGAGTGCAGTGGTGTGATCTCGGCTCATTGCAACCTCTGCCTCCCGGGTCCTGGTTCAGACAGTTCTCCTGCCTCAACCTCCTGATTACAGGTACGAGGCATCACACACGGCTAATTTTTGTATTTTTAGTAGAGACAGGGTTTCACCGTGTTGGCCAGGCTGGTCTTGAACTACTGACCTTGTGATCCACCCTCCTTGACCTCCCAAAGTGCTGGTGTTACAGGCAGCCCAGCCTCTAGGGTAATATTTCTAAAGATGTTCTCTGTATTTCCAGTAGTTCTTCAGTTAAATACCAAATAAATATTATCTAAACTCCTGAGCTTGTCAGTGATAGCTTTCTAGGGCCTTAAGTTATATTTCCATAGCTCTTGTCTTAACTAGCCAGGAAACCCAGCAAATTTAGCCGAATCACTGTTTTCCTAACCGTGCCACATCTCCTTGCTTTTGCTGACAGTTTCTTTGGCCTGAGGGAGCTTTTCTCTATCTACAAGTGTCAAAGTGCTTTCTCTATCTACAAGTGTCAAAGCGTTCATTCTTTGTAAACACCAAAACAAATGCCACTTTCCCCACTGGGTCAAATGGTATCATGAATTACTACTGTTATTTTATGTATAACAATTATAATATTCTCCTTTTAAAAACAATTGATGTGTATATAGGATTTATTAAGTAACTTTGAGAATAGAATTTTTAAATTAAAATCCTGTTTATGTATGTATCTTTGTGGATATTTTCTGTAAATAAAATACACATATTTAGTGAGGGCCCTATCATTGAAGGAAGATTTAGTTCTTGTATTTTTACTCATTGTAAAGTTTACAACATATTGTATTTTTTCATATAAAATATGATAACCTCCCAAGTTCCTTCTGACCTAATAATACTGCTAATACTACAATAATAAACCCATGCTTTATCATAAAGTAATCAATAACTTCAAGAAGTTGAAATATAGAGAGATATAATAGCATCACTCTTCATCCAAATACCAATAGATGACATTTTGTCTAATATTCTCATTTACATCAGCCCAGTTTTAATATATTCATTACCAGCACATTTTTTTCAAAATTAATGCTATTTTGTAAAATATATTTATTTATTGGACATTATCATTGTATTTCTTGTCATTAAACATTCTGTAACATCCTATTTTAATTCTATCCAGTTAATATGATTTTTTCTCCCCTATCTTTAATGTTTTAGTTAAGTTATGCTATCGTATATAACAATGCAGTGAGCATACTTTCAGATAACTATTTGATTGTATCTGGTATTGAAATACATTTAAGGAGCTAGGCATGGTGGCTCACGCCTGTGATTCCAGAACTTTGGAAGGCCAAGATGGGAGACTCTCTGAAGGCCAACAGTTTGACACCAACCTGGGCAATATAGTAAGACCGCATCTCTACAGAAAACAAAATTAGCTGAGTGTGCCTGGAGTACTAGCTGCTTGGGAGCTGAGGTAGGAGGACCATTTGAGCCCAGGAGTTTGAGGCTGCAGTGAGCCATGATCGCATCACTGCACAACAACCTGAGTGACAGAGCGAGACCCTGACACTAAAACTTAAATACATTTATGTTTAGTTTTTAATGATATTGAACATTTTTTATGTGCTTTCAAGAGATGGTTTAAATTGATATTTGTATTTCCTCACACATCTGTGTAACGTTAGGTACTGAGTGAGAGCATCTGTAACAGCTTTGAAATATCTTCCCAAACAGGTAAAGCTCCAGATGGCTCTGGAACTTGTGAGGAAAGAGTTGGAGGACGCCTTGGCTCAGGAGGCCAATGTGGGGAAAAAGACTGTCATTTGGAAGGTAAGACTGTGTTGGGGCTTTAGGAGGCTTGCATGTTTGAAGGATCCAGATTCGGGTCAGTAATTCTTCCACCGTCTTCCATTCTCCAGCACTTTTGTTCCATCTCCATAAATGCCCAAGAACACCTCAGAGCCATCCTGGGTCATCCCTGTCCCCTCAAATGATATGGTTCATTTTTGTTCTTTTTGTCTCTGTTGCCGTCACCCAATCCAAATTATAATTAAATGGCTTTGCTAGCTTGATCTTACTGTAAAACCCACTGCTGTATCCCTGTCGCCTAGAATAGCATCTTATACTGTCACTACTAGTTTGAAAATATTTGTTAGGTGAATGAAATAATGAATATTTCACAACTTTGTAACAGAAGAAGTACAGCCCAAAGTGATCATCTTATATACAGGGAAATAATCTGAACATTCAACCTTTTTTGATCTTCTGTACATACGCATATTCCATTTTTTTATACCTCACTAGCTCTTTTTATTCCATGTTTCATTCATGCGCATGCACGTGAATATGTGTATACACACACACAGTGATTCGTACACACACACAGTGATTCACATACACACACACACACACAGTGATTCTCAACCTGAGGCAATACCCACCACCCCCAGATACATTTTGCAATTTCTGGAGATGATATTTTTGGTTGTCACAACTGAGGAAGGGTGGGTGCGGTGCACCTGTCATCTAGTAGAGACAGGAATGCAGCTTCACACCCTGTAGTCCACAGGACAGTTCCCATATCCTATGAGAAAAAATGATCTGTTCAAGATGTCAATAGTGTCAAGATTGAGAAACTATATATAGAAACTGTGTGTATAGTTCTATATATTCATATAATGTATTATGTAATATGATATATAATAGGTTATACTCTACAGGATATTCCTATTCTTTTTCCTTTTCCAAATAACCCTTCTTTTCTGATGACTCTATATATTTATAATTATTTCCTTCTTGTTTTCTTTGAAAATTTTGTCTTATACTCTATCTTTACACAGATATTACATAAAAACTTTTTAAACTACATTTTTCTATATTTACTACATTACTAGATTACTATATATATACACATAGGGATAGGAAAAGATAACACTTATCCGAGAAGAAAGATGTATGTTAAGGCCAGGCATGGTGGCTCACACCTGTAATCCCAGCACATTGGGAAGCCGAGGGAGGTGGATCACCTGAGGTCGGGAGTTCAAGACCAGCCTGACCAACATAGAGAAACCCCATCTCTACTAAAAATACAAAAAAAAAAAAAAAAAAAAAATTAGCCGGGCGTGGTGGCGCATGCCTATAATCCCAGCTACTCAGGAGGCTGAGGCAAGAGAATCGCTTGAACCCAGGAGGCGGAGGTTGCGGTGAGCTGAGATAGTGCCATTGCACTCCAGCCTGGGCAACAAGAGTGAAACTCTGTCTCAAAAAAAAAAGGAAAAAAGAAAAGAAAAATGTACATTATAGGTAAATAATGTAGATAGTGATAGGAAAGGATAAAAGTTATCAATATTAAATAATATTGATGTTAATAACTTTAGTACCTAATGTTACTCAGATGTGTGAAGAAATATTTAAACTTATTAACGTTGATACTGACAAACTTGTTCATCAGTATTATTAACGAATATTTTTAAACTAGTAGTGACGGTATAAGATGCAACTCTAGGTGAGAGGGATATAGCCGTGGGTTTTGCAGGAAGAGCAAGTTAGTAAAGCATAGTTTGGATTGGGTAGTGGCAATCGAGATAAAAAGAGCAAGAACAAAGCTTTACAATATTAAATAATGTTCGTTATTTGCCTATAATGTACATAGTGATAGGATGTACATTATTTAATATTGTAATATTGATGGATAATTTTTGTTCTTTTCAGGCTGAAATACAAGTCTATTGTTTTCAATCCTGGCCTGACCGTAGATCTATAAAATCAGAATGCCTATATCGGAGAGCTGAGTTCCTGCATGTTTTAAACCCTCTACTGATTATTCTTAAGTAGGGATGATACTGAGATCCCTGTTCTAAGCCAAGTAAACTTGCATGATCTTTACCATCAAGAATGTATCCATGTGAGCCAAATGCAGCAAGCACATTTTTGGTCACAAGGTATTCTAAATACTACAAAACAACCTTTCCTGTTTCTCTGTCTGCAGATATAGTTGTGCTCAAGAGGGTGGTGTGAAAGGAAGATGAATTGCAGGCAAATCGCTTCCCACCACACCCCCCTTCATGCCCCAGGTATGACTCAACTCTTTTCTAGTGGCTGGGTTATTTGCCCCACCCCACAACAGCACAGCCGTGCTGATATGAAGAGAGCTTCTCATATTTACATGAGTTACACCTTTCAGGAATCAGTGTATGGAATTCAGACTTGACTGATTTCAGAAAGAAGATGAAGTTTTCTTAATCTGGTGATTTAGAAAATGGTAGAAGGAAGTAGAATTGGAAAATGGAAGGAAGGAGTTAAGTCTTAGGGGATGTTTAGTTTAAAAAGGTGATAGTTTATGCCTTTTAGTCAAAGCAAGAAGTTACCACGTTTAAAAACAGGCAGATAGGCTGGGCACAGTGGCTCACGCCTGTAATACCAGCACTTTGGGAGGCCAAGGTGGGCCAATCATGAGGTCAGGAGTTTAAGACCAGCCTGACCAACATGGTGAAACCCTGTCTCTACTGAAAATACAAAAATTAGCTGGGCATGGTGGTGTGTGCCTGTAATCCCAGTTACTTGGGAGGCTGAGACAGGAGAATCACTTGAACCCCGGAGGAGGAGATTGTAGTGAGCCAAGATTGTGCCACTGCACTCCAGCCTGGGTGACAGAGCAAGACTCTGTCTCAAAAAAAAGATTGAAAAAACCAGGCAAATGACTTCACCTACAAGGCAGTATAATAGTGTAACAAAACTCCATTTGTACCTCATGAATATATACAAAAAATAAAATAAATCGATAAAACAGGACAGAGAATGGGAGGTACAGATACTTTGAGGGAGTGATTTGCCTCTGGTACTCAGCTTAAAGTTAGTTTCCAATATGCTTATCTCGAGAGGAGAAAATCTAGAAACTAAGCCTGGGATGAAGTATGTTCCTTAGGTCTATTCAGAAACTGAAGACGTGAGATTCGGGTAGAAATCGGGGTTAATTCCCTGACGTGAACTGTGAACTCAGTGGCCTGAGCATTACTTAGTTCTTTCTTGGCTTCGTAGAGAACGTTAGACCTATGGTTGTTGGTTGTGTTCACTATTACCATATTATGAAACAGCATTCATATTTTCTCATCTCTCAGCCTTTTCTTATTCAAACAATTCTAGGTCTCTAACATTTCTTCATAATTCGGTTGTTTCTAGTGGTTCTAGTGACTAATCTACTAGTAAATAGTAACCTGTTGTGTGACTGCTCTATGCCGATCACTGTTCTTGTAGTTTAATAGATATTCAACCGTAATCCACATACTCTTCTTTTTCCCCACATTTTTTAAGAGATGGAGTCTTGCTGAAGTGCAGTGGTGTAATCAAAGCTTACTGCAGCCTCGAGCTCTTAGACTCAAGTAATCCTCCCACTTCAGCCTTGTGGGTAGCTGGGACTACAGGGCTTACCACCATGCCCGGTCAGTTCATCTAATTTTTTTAAAGATAGAGTCACGTTTTGCTTTGTTACCCGGGCTGGTCTTGAACTCCTGACCTCAAGCAATCCTCTTGCCTCAACCTCCCCAGAACCTCACATTTTGTATATGGTACTGAAACTTCAATATAAAAGTACCTTGCCCCCAAGCCTGTGGCAAAATGGGAACTCCAGTCCAACAGTATTTTTTAAACTTAGTTTGAAAACTCTCCTGGGCTACTTCTTATACGAATGGACTGCAGTCTGTGCATGTTGTTAGAATGCAGCCAGTCAGTCCACAGAGTTACGGATCCCAGGGAAGTCTGGACATTGCCTTCTCCAGCTCTGTCCTGTACATGGCTGCAGGAGGCCGAGCGCTGATGATGTGATCCACTGTGTCACCTCAGGAGAAAGTGGAAATGCAGAGGCAGCGCTTCAGGTTGGAGTTTGAGAAGCATCGTGGCTTTCTGGCCCAGGAGGAGCAACTGCAGCTAAGGCGGCTGGAGGCGGAGGAGCGAGCGACGCTGCAGAGACTGCGGGAGAGCAAGAGCCGGCTGGTCCAGCAGAGCAAGGCCCTGAAGGAGCTGGCAGATGAGCTGCAGGAGAGGTGCCAGCGCCAGGCCCTGGGTCTGCTGGAGGTGAGACCGGGTGCCAGAAAAGCGGGCAGGTGTGAGACTGAGGTGACAGGGACTAGTACAGTGGCTTTCAGAGACAAACACGTTGACGTTTATGTTCTTTAGGAAAAGGGCACCCTCGAATTTACTCAGAAGGCAGCTTAAACACCCTAGAATTTACTCAGATGCTATTCCTGGCATCAGAATCATGAGATTCTAGAGAATCATATAGTTTGAGTCTGGCATGGTGGCACTTGCCTGTAGTCCCAGTTATTAGAGAGGCTGAGATAGGAGGATTGCTTGGGCCAAGGAAATTGAGACCAGCCTGGGCAACATAGCAAGACCCTGTCTCAAAAAACAAACAGACAAACAGCATATAGTTCGTTTTAAGGACTAAAGAATTTTTTAAATTAAAATTAATGATTTCTGAAAATTTAAACAGCTAGGAAAAGGACAGGCTATACTCTGCTGGCTGAGAAGTAATTCCTAAAACCTCAGAGTCAGTTTGCGGTTTGTCCATGATGGCATTGCTGTTTTTCAGGGATGGCTAACCCAGAAAGTCTGCATAACACATTTTAGTGTCACTGGCCAGAAGGATGAATAATGATTTAAATTGTCCAGTTGAAATTGTTATATTGGATTGTAAAGCAAACATTGATTTCCTGGCCCACATTGCGTGCCCGTTCCAGGCATGGTGAGGAGGGATTATGTGGACTCCCGTGCAGCTTCCTCCCAGTCTATTTGGGATTACAGAACAGAAAGATGAATGACATTGAAAGGGAATCTTTGTTTTTAATCCTCTGTGAAGACATCATATCCCAAGTGAACAGGGAAAGTCAAAGCTGTTGATGGATCATGTTTTCTTGATAGAACCAATGGCAACAGAAATTTATCTGGGCCAACTTCTATCTCCTCCCCAGTGAGTCATTCAGGGGATTCTAAACTAAGTGATTCATGTTCTCATTTAACAGCTGACCCACAGATTCTACCTTTTCTGACTCAGTTCTAGACACTGAAATTGCCATGAATATTAATAATCATATTAACTCTCTGTATAATGTTTGCAAGTACAGTTACTAAACAGTACTGATTACGAGGCAGAGGACCATGAAATGAATTTGTAAAACCGTTTGTCTCATTTTATCTTATATATGTTAAATTTATATTTTATTATTATTGCTGTGCTCATTTCCTTGTTAGCAAACTAAGAGTAAGAAGGAATTTTCCAAATAGCAGACAGCAAAACACAAGAACTTTGACAGTTTTTTTTCTTTTCTTTTCTTTTTTTTTGAGACGGAGTCTCGCTCTGTTGCCCAGGCTGGAATGCAGTATGCAGTGGTGTGATCTTGGCTCACTGCAACCTCTGCCTCCTTGGCTCAAGCGATTCTCCTGCCTCAGCCTCCTGAGTAGCTGGGATTAAAGGTGAGTGCCACAGCACCTGGCTAATTTTTTTTTTTTTTTTTTGCATTTTTAGTAGAGATGGGGTTTCACCATGTTGGCCAGGCTGGTCTTGAACTCCTAACCTTAGGTGATCCACCTACCTCGGCCTCCCAAAGTGCTGGGATTACAGGCATGAGCCCCTGTGCCCGGCTTGACAATTTCAACAACAGTATTGCTCTGCCCACCTAGGCCTCCCAAAGTGCTGGGATTGTAGGCATGAGCTACCCTGCCCGGCATGGGAGGGTATATTCTTAAATAGGGTATCTTATCTATCTACTGTTTCATAAGGGCGGGATCTCACTCTGTCACTCAGGCTGGAGTGCAGTGGCTCAATCATAGCTCACTGCAGCCTCAGTCTCCTGGGATCAGGCAATCCTTGTGCCTCAGCCTCCCAAGTAGCGGGGACTAAAGGTGTGCACCACCATGCCCAGCTAATTTTTAAAAAATTTTTAGTAAAGATGAGACTTCATTGTGTTGCCCAGGCTGTATATTTTTGTACTTTCCTTTCTTCCCTGGTACTAATAAGCTACATTTTACCCCCGAAGGCCAAGACCGAGGCCTGACATTCCCATACAGGGTAAAGCAAATTATTTCCCTCTTTTATGCCATCAAAATTTATCTGACTGGCGACTGTTTTTAAGGGGAGAGGGGAAATGTATCCCAAATGCAATTATTAATATAATAAATGTATCACAGATATATTTATTTAATAATCTACTTTGAGAAAGTAATGTTAGTAGTTATTAAAGGCTTCCTTTATTAATCTACTTAGATAACCTACTCATAGGAATAGCTCTGGTACGTTGGTTCAGAGAATTAGGAATTTATAATTCCTATGAAGACATTTAGGGAAACATTTTGTGTCTTTATTTAAGGAACCCATCCCTGCCCCTCAAATTCTGTGAGTACTTAGGATCTATTTTATCCTGCTCCATCTGAATTACCTACAGAATGTTACTCTGTTACAATATGCAAGTGGCAGAATTATTAATTCAGAAGATAATTAAATTGATAGATGTTGCAGGAATTAACCTAAACTTTGTATAGCTTTAAAGAAAAGAGATTTGGCTGGGTGCAGTGACTCACGCCTGTAATCCCAGCACTTTGGGAGGCCAAGGTGGGCGGATCACCTGTGGTCAGGAGTTCGAGACCAACCTGGCCAACATGGTGAAACCCCGTCCCTACTAAAAATACAAAAAAAACAAAAACAAAAAAAATATTAGCCAGGCGTGGTGGCGGGAGCCTGTAATCCCAGCTACTTGGGAGTCTGAGGCAGGGAGGTGGAGGTTGCAGTGAGCCAAGATCGCGCCATTGCACTCCAGCAGCCTGGGTAACAAGAGCAAAATTCCATCTCAAAAAAAAAAAAAAAAAAAAAAAGAGATTTATTGTCTCCTATAATTTTATCTTAATAATGTTTTCCAGTAATTTCTAAGGAAATTTTCGTGGTGTCCTCAGTCTGACTGGGAAAAGCAGTTCAGAGTCCAGCTTTCACTGTATTTTTCTTTCCTTTTCAGGGTGTGAGAGGAGTCCTGAGCAGGTATGCATGCTTTCTGAATTGGTGAAGGGACTGGGAGAGGCAGAGGAGCTGGTGGAGAACCCTGCTGACCTCTGTGGTTTCTGTGCTCTTCCCAGAAGTAAGGCCGTCACAAGGCTGGAAGCAGAGAACATCCCCATGGAACTGAAGACAGCATGCTGCATCCCTGGGAGGAGGGAACTGTTGAGGAAGTTCCAAGGTAGTTTGCATCTTAGAGACTGGGAAGTAGGCTGCCTGGGGTTTGCCTTGTATTGCAGTTTATTACTGTGCCAGTCAGCTGCAGTGAGCAACAGAACCTAAAGTCTTAGTGGCCCAGATCAGCAGAAATTTGTTTTGAGAGTGTGCCGTTGGTTTGTTCCTGGGTGTGGGGACTTCTGTGCCACATCTTCTCACTCTGAGACCCATGCTGACAGAGCTCCACCTCCCTCTTGGTGCTGGGAGCCATAGAAACGGGCAAGGTTATTGAAGAGATGGGGGAAGAAGTTCTCTTACAGAGTCAATACAACACCTCACTTCTGGTCACCAAAATGTGTGGGGATTTCTCCCCGCAAACAGCCAATCTGTTCTCCAGCACATACTCCAGCCAGATGTCCTTCCATGCAATTTGATTTTGACACTATCTACCTGGAGATAGCACCAGGTCCCCCGGGTTAAGGGCTTAGTCCCACAAGACTGACCCCACTTCACGTGCCAGCCACAAGCACAGGTTGTGGCCTGTGATTCTGACCAACTGACTGTAAATTGGGGTTCCCACAACCCCTTCTTGAGTTCACTTGATTTCCTGAAAGAGCTCACAGAACTCAGGGACACATATTTACTCATTTATTATAATGGGCATTACAGAGGCTAGAGATAAACAGATGGAAGAGATTCCTAGGGCGAGGTTTATGAGAAGGGGTACGGAGCTTCCACGCCCTCTCTAGGCATGCTACCTTGGGAACCTCCATGTGTTCAGTGATCTGGAAGTCCTCAGTACTCAGTTCTTTCTTTTTTTTTTTTTTTTTTTTTTTTTTTTGTGATGAAGCCTTACCCTGTCCCCAGGATGGAGTGCAGTGGCACCATCTTGGCTCACTGCAACCTCCGCCTCCCAGGTTCAAGCGATTCTCTTATCTCAGCCTCCTGAGTAGCTGGGATTACAGCCACATGCCACCACACCCGGCTAATTTTTATATTTTTAGTAGAGACGGGGCTTTATCATGTTGGCCAGGCTGGTCTCAAACTCGACCTCAAATGATCCACCTGCCTTGGCCTCCCAGAGGGCTGGGATTACAGGCGTGGGCCACCGTGCCCGGCCAATGAACTCAGTTCTTTTAGGTTTTCATGGAAGCACTTTGTAGACGTGATTGATTAAATCATAGGCCATTGGTTTATCAACGCACCCTTCAGCCCGTCCCTCTTCAGAGGTAGGTGGGAGCATGGCACTGAAAGTTTCAAGCCTCTAATCACATGGTTGGTTCCCCTGGCAACCCACAACCATGGGAGGCTTTCTGGGGGATCACCAACAGAAAGTTATTATATTGCCCATTATAATATATAATAAAAGTTATTATTATAATGCCCATTATAATAAATGAGTAATCTTAGTAGCATGCAAAAGACACTGTTGTCTTTCTGGAAGTTCCAAGGATTTTAAAAACTATATGTCAGTAAACAGGATGTAGACAAAATACATACTTCACAGTTTCATAGGCATGGTGACTGTAGACCAAATACATACTTCACAGTATCATAGGCATGGTGTCTGTAGACCAAATAGATACTTCCCAGTATCATAGGTATGGTGAATCCTGCACCGTAGACCAAATACACACTTCACAGTATCATAGGCACAGTGACTCATGCACTGTAGACCAAATACACACTTCACAGTATCATAGGCACGGTGACTCATGCACTCCTCTTAAAGGCATCCTTGCTGAATTGGGGCATGTGGCCTTCCTGAGATTTCATGGCTAAGCCAAACTATCAAGGAGACAGTGTAGGGGGCAAGGGAGAACTTTCCCCTTTCACTATGAATGTTTGCTGAAAATCAACTGACCAAAGACAAATAGGAACAAAGGCATAGAAAAAGTTCAACATTCAAAGCACAGCGGAATCGCAGGAGAATAATTACTCAGTAACTCAATGGGATACGGATGCTTATATACCCTTCTTTGTTGGAGGAAAGGGAGATGGGGAGGCGTGGATGATTTTAGAGGGATAGTAAATGATTTTTTGGTGGATTCATTGGACTTGGAGTACATACAGTGGCTTGGGACAAAGTCTATTGAAAAATAGACAGTGGTTTGTGACTGAAGTCTGTCCAGGTGTGTTGACAGACTTGTTTATCTTCCTGCAGTATGAACTAAATTAATTAAAACACAGGGACTTTAGGAAGATAAATGAGTGTTAGAATAAAGCTTCTTCCAGTGTGTGCTCGTCTCCAAGGGCCTTTAATTTAAAATAATCGGCATTACCGGGGTGCCATATTTTAGGGTAGAATTCTCTGGTCTTCAGTGGGAGAGTGGACCATGCCCAGAAAAATGCGGATTGGTGTATTCATGAGCAGTATCAAAATCACAGCCACCCATAGAATCTACATTTGGTTAGAACAGTGGGCTCAAAATTGTAGTTCATCTCTTATTAGCTGTGATATGAGTAACGTTAGTTCCAGTAGATTTACATTTCCTTGTTTATAAAATGCTAAAAATGTTTGGAGGACAAAATGAAACATTTGAAAGTACCCCACCTCCTAAAAGTTATCAATATGAAAGCATTGCAAAGTTATTAATTAACAAGAAATTTGGTTTAATGTATTGGCTGAGAATTTGTTGAGTTGCTATTTTTATGTAGGAATAAGCAGTGTCACAAAAAATTAGTCTGTTCAATCTGATTGTATTATTCTTTGAAACAGTATAGATTCAGTATTGTTTAAAATTTCATTTTAAAATCTAATTTATCCCAAGTAATGAAAACTGACTATGTCTAAATAGTGGCTTCACTACTTACAGGGAAAGAGTGTAAAGTCCCTTAATGAGAAAATCCATCTCCGCAGCATAGTACCCACGTTCTCCTGGGTAGATGAATGTATACTAAATGCCCGACTCGATTAAAATCATCATGGCACCCTTAGACTCAGTAACCTCATATCCATATTTATTTTTATTGAATGAAACAATTCAAAATGTTTTATTCTATCTCATCCATTCTTTTAAACATTGGAATATATCATTAAACAACAACAACGGCAAAATATGCTACAATCCATAGCTTTGTGTTGCAGATACCTACTTAGCCAAAATACACAGGCTGTAAGAGGCTGATACAGAATATTGAATAAAATAAAAAGGAGTATGAAAAGGGTAATGAGAAGTTCTGGTTTTGAATAAGGTGACCAGGAAGGACCTCGCCCCGCGGGGATAATGCAGCACATACATGATTTGGAAGAAAGCACTCAGACAGCAGAAATGAGCGCTGAGGCCTGACATGGAGGATGGCAGGTGTGTTCCAGGAGCTGTGAAGATGTCAGTGTGAGGACTCTGTGGCGGAGGGTCAGAGAGACCAAGGAAGGGCTAGATGGGCAGGCCACTCTGAGCAGGATACTTTATCCCTGAGTGAAATAGGACGTCATTGAAAGTTGTACCTAGAAAAATAGTTTGATTGGACTAATGTTTTATGAGGATCACTTTGTATGGTTTCTTGTAAGTAAATTACGGAGAGGAGAAGATTACCTGGGAAAAGCAGTTAAGGGTCTTTGCAGTAATTTGATGAGAGATGATGATGTGTTGGAACAGATGTTATTACGGAAGGTGCCGCAAGATGGACGTATTTTTGTTATACACTGAAGGCAGAGCTGTTAAGATTTGGTATTGGATTATATATGATGTGCTATTAAAAAGAAGAGCCATGAATGATTCCAAGGTTTTGGAGCTTGCAAACTGGCAAAATGTGATGGCCACTTCTGTTGATGAGGAAAGCTACAGTTGAAGCAGAAGAAGGGGTTGGGTTTTGGACACGTGGATGTTGCGATGAGTGCTAAATATCCAAATGTTGCTATCAGGTGGGCAGATGAGTGTACAATAGGGACTTTCAGGGTAAAGTTCAAAGCTAAGCACATGCATTGGGAATCAGTCAGCATATGAATGGAATTTTATCAAAGCGATGAGCCAGTCAACTCCCGGGTAGATAGGGAGTGAGGTGAGAGAGAGAGAAGAAGTCCAAGTCTTGGGACCATAGGTTTCTCCAGTGGTGGTGGTGGAGGAGAAGAGAACAGCAAAGAGGATGAAGGAGTAGTGAGCAGCGAGAGAAGGGAAACATGGATGAGTGCTGTCTGTGGAAAAGGGAGATTTTCCAGCACAAGTGGATTCTCAGTAGTGTTGAGAGATACAGAAAAATCATTGAAGACGAACTCTGGGCCAGGTGTGGTGGCTCACACCTGTAATCCCTACACTTTGGGAGGCCGAGGTGGGCACATCACCTGAGGTCAGGAGTTTGAGACCAGCCTAGTCAGCATGGAGAAACTCCGTCTCTACTAAAAATACAAAATTAGCCGGATATAGTGGTGCATGCCTATAATCCCAGCTACTCGGGAGGCTGAGGCAGGAAAATTGCTTGAACCCAGGAGGCGGAGACTGCAGTGAGCCGAGATCACACTATTGAACTCCAGCCTGGGTAACAAGAGCAAAACTCCATCTAAATAAAAAGACAAACTCTGACAAATAGCCATTCATCAACACGCAGGTCCCTGGGAAGATGGACATGAGCAGTTTGGTTGGGGTATAGTCACATCATGATGAAGAATTGAGTTCAGGAGAGAAGGGGTAGGGAGAGGAATGGGGTGTAGACCATATCAAAAGCCATTTCACAGATCTCTTTTGTTAGAAATGAAGCAGACAAATGTGCTGGAGCAGGCACGGCATGGGAATACATGACTTCTGTTAAATGCACAATCCGTGGAGACCTACCTTTCCATCTCTGTTATTTACCTCTAGAGTTTGGGAAGACCACATGAACTCTTTGACTCGGAATCTACTCTTGTGTAATGTAGGAATGACAGTGGTGACCCTCAGGGTGGTTATATGAGTTAATAAAAATAATGCAATATGCAGTTATGTGACCACTCAGGTTCGGTACCAATAAAAGTTCACTAGGCTGGGCGTGGTGGCTCACACCTGTAATCCTAACACTTTGGGGAGGCCGAGGCGGGTGGATCACCTGAGGTCAGGAGTTCAAGACCAGCCTAATCAACAAGGAGAAACCCCATCTCTACTAAAAATACAAAATTATCTAGGTGTGGTGGTGCATGCCTGTAATCCCAGCTACTTGGGAGGCTGAGGCAGGAGAATCGCATGAACCCAGGAGGCGGAGGTTGCAGTGAGCCGAGATCGTGCCAGTGCATTCTAGCCTGGGCAACAAGAGTGAAACTCTGTCTCAAAAATTAAATTAAGTTGAATTAAAAATTTTGAAAAAATTCACTAGGCCTTGAATTGAATTAAAAAATTTGAAAAAATTCACTAGGCCAGGCATGGTGGCTCACACCTGTAATCCCAACATTTTGGGAGGTTGAGGCTGATGAATCGCTTGAACCCAGGAGTTCAAGACCAGCCTGGGCAACATAGTAAAACTCCATCTCTACAAAAAATACAGAAAACTAGCTGGGCATGGTGGTGTACGCCTTCCCAGCTACTCAGAAGGCTGAGGTGGGGGGATGGCTTGAGTCTGAGAGGTGGAGGCTGTAGCAAGCTGTGATTGTACCACTGCACTCCAGACTGGGCAACAGAGCAAGGCTCTGTCTCAAGTAAAAGAAAAAAAAATTCACTAGAAGTGTTTAAAGGCAGGTAAGTATAGTGGTAGTGGCAGTAGTGGTGGTAGTAGTAGCAGTAATAGGTATAGTAGTAGCAGTAGTAGTAATAGTAGTAGCAGTAGAAGCAGTATTCTGATATTAAAACTCAAACTATATTAACATGTTAGTCTCATTTTGCATTGCTATAAAGAAATACCTGAGGCTGCGTAATTTATTAATATAAGGAAATGTGGTTTGTTTTGGCTCATAGTTCTGTAGACTGTACAGGAAGCATGTTGCTGGCACCTGCTTCTGGTGAGGCCTCAGGAAACCTACAGTCAATGTGGAAAGCAAAGGGGGAGCCAGCATATCACATGGCAAGAGGGAAGCAGTAAAGTGGGCAAGTGCCGGGTTCCTCTTAAACAACCAGCTCTTGCATGAACTGATAAAGAACTCACTTATCAGCAGTGGGATGGCATTAAGACATTCATGGGGGATCAGCGCCCACGATCCAGCACTTCCCACTAGGCCCCACCTTCAACACTGGGAATCACATTTAAACATGAGACTGGGAGGGGATACACACCCAAACCATATTATTAATTAACTATTTATAAGCAATGCTAATAAGGAAATCCACTGAATATTTTACATCCCCCCTTCACTGAGGTTTCATATCTAGATATATTTATTTATTATATGTATGGGTCAAATGTCTCATCAATCTCGCTGGGACTTCAGAGTATCAATATTTTTTATTGTTACGTAATGAATAACTACAAGCTTAGCTGCCTAAAGCCATACCATTTAGTAGCTCACAGTTCTGAAGATCAGACATCCAGGTGGGATCAGCTGGTTCCTCTGCTTAGGTTTTCTCAAGGCCCAAATATGGGTGTTGGCCAGGCTAGGCTTCTCTGTAGGTCTGGGGAAGAACCTTCCCTCTAAGCTTATTCAGGTTGTTGGCATAATACAATTCCATGCAAATGCAGTACTGAGATTCCTGTTTTCTTGCTGACTGTTGGTTGGGGGCCATTCTCAGCTCTGGAGATCACTCGTTTTTCTCTTCATGTGACCTTTCCATCTTCAAAGCCAGCAAAGAGATATCAAATCCACGTCTTACTGACCTTTCCTGCTGCCACCAACCCAATAGCCAGAGAAAACTTTCTGATTTTACAGGGCTTGTGGGATTAGATTAGACTCACCTTGATAATCTCTCTCTGGTCATATAGTGTAACATACTCATGAGACTGACACCAGGGTGTGAAGGTCATGGGGTTCATCTTAGAATTCTGCCTACCACAGTAATATAACTTTGAAAGTAGTGGGCTTAATATTAATAAAATTCTCCTATAAATTTTTAAGAAAAGAATTCCTAAGGGGTTTGTAAATTTTATGTTAAATGCAGAAGATCCTCCTAAGTGCACCCAAATGCTTTGGATGTAAGCCGGACATGGTGGTGTGCACCTGTAGTCCCAGCTGCTGGGGAGGCAGACACAGGAGGATCGCTCGAGTCCAGGAGTTTGAGGCTGTAGTGGACCATGGCTATGCCCATGAATAGCTCTGCACTCCAGCCTGGGCAACACAGCAAGACCCCATCTCTCTCTCTTTCTCTCTCTCTCTCTCTCTCTCTCTCACACACACACACACATGCACACACACACATGCTTTAGATGTAAATGAAAGGAAATGAAATGATTGTTTACTTGGTTTGTCATCATCAATAGTTGTTTTTATTGAGGAAGCTAGAGAGTTCTGGATTATGCAGAGGTAACAGTGGAATACACCAGAAAGTAATAAAGAATAATAAAGTAATAAAGAAGATTTCACCTGTAAGGTGAAATACTGATTTGTTTTCTCTAGGCGTTGTTAGAGAGAGAAGTGAGGAACTCTGGGACTATTCATTTCAGTGGTTTCCTGAGTTTCTACCTTTCTTTCCTTTCACTTGCTCCACCACATTCCTTCCGCAGTGGATGTAAAGCTGGATCCCGCCACGGCGCACCCGAGTCTGCTCTTGACCGCCGACCTGCGCAGTGTGCAGGATGGAGAACTATGGAGGGATGTCCCCAACAACCCTGAGCGATTTGACACGTGGCCCTGCATCCTGGGTTTGCAGAGCTTCTCATGTGGGAGGCATTACTGGGAGGTTCAGGTGGAAGAAAGAGCAGAGTGGGGTTTAGGGGTCTGTCAAGACACACTGCCGAGAAAGGGGGAAACCACACCGTCTCCTGAGAACGGGGTCTGGGCCCTGTGGCTGCTGAAGGGGAATGAGTACATGGTCCTTGCCTCCTCATCGGTGCCTCTTCTCCTGCTGGAAAGTCCTCGCTGCATTGGGATATTCTTGGACTATGAAGCCGGTGAAGTCTCGTTCTACAACGTCACCAATGGGTCTTATATCTACACATTCAACCAACTCTTCTCTGGTCTTCTTCGGCCTTACTTTTTCATCTGCGATGCAACTCCTCTTATCCTGCCACCCATGACAGTAGCAGAGTCGGGAAATTGGGCATCCAGGGATCATTTAGATCCTGCTTCTGATGTAAGAGATGATCATCTCTAAAATTCTGTTCCCAAGATGCAGTCCCAGCCTAGCAAACGTTCCTGGAGTGGGGTGAAGGATATCAATATACTAAGTTTTAACAGATACCCCCATTTAGGTCAGCACTTGATTCCTTGTTGCTGTGAAATATTTCCATGGGACAAAAGAGGGAATACGCAATATTTGCATATGGGAAGATTATAGAGCATAATAATTTTATAAATGCAGCAATCTCAACCTCTATTTCTAGATCACATTTTCTTGATGAGTCTTCCTTCAAATTAATGACCTTGGATTACATAAGGATTTCTATACCTTCATTATAATTTGTTATTCCTTTCAACATCCTTGTATTCCAAGTCTTCCATATAAGAATTAGACATGGCAATTCTTAAACTGATTCAGAATGGTCTGATACTATTCCAGTATCACATCCATACTTCTGTTTCTCCTCCTTTTCCTGATTTTTCTTCTCATTCTCTCCTTCCCCCCTCTATCTCTCGTTCCCTGTCACTCTCTCTCTCTGTCTCTCTCTTGTTCTTTATTTTTTGTTTCTTACCTCTTACTGTTTAACCTGTTGCTTCCTTCTAGATTAATACATTTAGAGCCATTCCTTTATACAGTCACATTTCCTGTGACTTTACTCAGTTACTTTTAAAGTCCTTTTTATTCTGGGACTCATTTTTAAGAATTACAAAGCTCATTCCTCTGAATCTGATATTACTGACTGCTAGACTTTTTCCTTTTCTTTGGATACCCTTTAGGAATTTATCAGAATTTTCATTCAACTCGTTCTTTAACGTAGATATTTATTAGTTTTAAGACCTTAAGGCTGGGCGCAGTGACTCATGCCTGTAATCCCAGCACTTTGGGAGGCTGAGGTGGGTGGATCACAAGCTCAGGAGTTCGAGACCAGCCTGGCCAATAGGTAAAACTCTGTCTCTACTTAAAAAAAAAAAAATACAAAAATACAAAAATTAGCTGGGTGTGGTGGCAGGAGCCTGTAATACCAGCTATTTGGGAGGCCAAGACAGGAGAATTGCTTGAATCCTGGAGGCAGAGGTTGCAGTGAGCAGAGATCGCACCACTGTACTCCAGCCCAGTGCGAGACTCCGTCTCAAAAAAAAAAAAAAAAAAAAAGACCTCAGACAACACTTCTCTCTCTCTTTTAGCTGCTTGTTATGGTTCCTATACGTGGAACAATTGTACTGGCCTTGCAGTGGTATGGTAAATATTTAAGGTCATATTTGATATTGCTGGTTTGAATTCAGCTTTTCCATTTAAATACATTATAATAATGATGAAATGATGATAATATTTAACTTATTTTTAAAGTATATTCTATACCTTTCCAACAGAAGTTTTAAAAGTCATTGAAGGCTAACCTTGCTGCCCTCTTTGTATCACTGTCTTCTAATAATTGTTATGGCTGGGCGCGGTGGCTCACGCCTGTAATCCCAGCACTTTGGGAGGCCGAGGTGGGTGGATCATGAGGTCAGGAGATCGAGACCATCCCGGCTAACACGGTAAAACCTCGTCTCTACTAAAAATACAAAAAATTAGCCGGGCGAGGTGGCGGGCGCCTGTAGTCCCAGCTACTCGGGAGGCTGAGGCAGGAGAATGGCGTGAACGCGGGAGGCGGAGCTTGCAGTGAGCTGAGATTCGGCCACTGCACTCCAGTCTGGGCAAAGAGTGAGACTCCGTCTCAAAAATAATAATAATAATAATAATAATAAATAATAGTTACACAAATGCTAAAATGTTTAAATGGTAACCAAATATTAATTAATGGCAAATTACTTAACATTATCTGACAATAATCTGCAGAAGGTTTAATTTTCCTCCTCAATTTGAAGTTCAAGATGTTTTTCTCTTCCAGGGAGATTTTTTCGACTGACACCTTTAACTTACCTTCCGATTATATTATTAACGTAGGCTTCTTCCTAGATTTTTTAAATTGTTTGATCACGAGTGAACACTTCTACTCTCTGTGTTAGATTTGCAAACAGAGGGAATAACGCATCCTCACGTCCCTCCTCTTGGTGTTCCGCGGGCCGGTGTGCCCTAGCCCTCCCTCGTGCAAGGTCTGTGTAGGGAAGGTGGGCTTCAGCTCAGCCACAGCATCCCTGCCCCCAGGGATGAGGAGGGTGGCCTGAGATACCCCATCCATGGGGCACCACCCATTCACTGAGACGGGGAAACCCTGGGTGGGAGGGAGAACACATCCATGTGTCTTCTACTCTCTCCATAGAGTGGAACGAGAGGCCCAGGAGTATCCATTTCCCACCGTGTAGCCCAGTACTCTGGTCTCACTGTCTCTGCTGAATGCTGTCTCACTGTGCATTTTATTATGGTTTATGTCAGTCAGTAGACTGATGTGAGTCTTCATCTCTTGCATTCTTAGGTTCGCAGAGTTTTGTGTGTCTCCTGTAATGACCTCTTTCCCTTTCCAACTCCTGAAAGGTTTCCACTATTTCCTCTGGAACTTTGTTTCATTACCAGCAAAATCCTCTACATCCCTACCCGTTTCCTGGCTTTCCCTCTCCTTTCCTCTGAATGTGTCTTTTATATTCAGCTGTCCACTTGACATTAAAATAGACATTTTAAACTCAATTTGCCTTAAACTTAACCACGCATTTCTCCCCAAGTCTCTTCCTAACTACAACAACAAAAACCACAGGCTGCTCCCTGGCACTGGATGACAACTCCATTCTCCTGTCACTGGATGACAACTCCATTCTCCTGTCACTGGATGACAACACTCCATTCTTCAGATTGCTTAGGCCAGGCGTCCAACTGAGTGCTTTCTTGACTTCTGCAGCCCACATCCAGCCCATCAGCAAGCCCTGTTGGTCCTACCTTCAGAATATGTCTGGGGTTCAGTTGTCCTGGCCACCCTGCTGCTGTAACCATGGTCGGAACTCCATCCTGCCACTCTGGATTATGACTTTCGTTTCCTCACAGTGGTCCTGCTTGGGCTCTAGGCCCTTCTGCTCCCATTCTCTCTGCAGCAGCTGGGCTGATCTTTTTAGCATCCAAGGATATGTTGGCATCACAGTGACCTAGATGGTGATACCATCACAATGACGAGTGAAAGTCAGAATCCTCACAGTGAACCCCTAGGCCCTAGAGGTTCTGAATCCCCATGCCCCCTTTGATTCTCTCTTCCTCCCCCACTTCCCTTTGCATTCTGCTCCAGCTGCCCTGGCCTCATGGCTGGGTTTCCACCAAGGCAGGCGCTTCCCATCATAGGGCCGTTTCCCCCACTGTGGCTTCTGCTTGAAATTCCCTTTTCCCTGATGTTCCCTTGACTCATTATTCCCTTTCTTCCTTTGAGTCTTCTGAGATCCAGCCTCTCAGTGATGCCGTATAACGCTACTCACCCCAGAGCCCATCCGGAGCTCACCTTTCCAGTTGCCCTTGCTGGGCTCAGTGGAGGCTCTTTGTTCCGCATAGAGTACGTGTCATCTAGTGTACTATATTGTTCTCTTATTTATTAGGCTTGTTTTATTTATTTATGTTTTGCCTTTTGTGCTAAATGTAAACACCGCAAGGGGTGGTATCTTTGTCTCTTGACAATGATACTTCAGTGTTTCTCAAGCACCTCCAATGCTGGTTTGTTATCAATCTGTGTTTTTTGAATAAATAAATGATTGACTATCTAGAGAGCAAAATTGATGGACCTGAAAATGTTGTGTGAAATGTAACGTAGTATACTGATGTAACAATAATAATTGGCCAATAAAGTTTAATTCCAAGTGCTAAATTAGTAAAATTTTGGGAATAGAGAAAAATTGAGCAGAAGACTAAGTTTGTAAACATGATGGATTTCGTGACCTGATAACTTGGCATGTCCAGGCCTAGTCCCATTGAACCCCCTGTGGTTTTGATTCCCTGTGACATCACAGCGACACCTTTGCATTATGCTTTGTCTCATACTCCATAAGCCGCCTCGCAAAGTGGTATCGTCACTAAAAATGTGAGGAACTTTCTATAAACTTATGTAGACTAGAAACTTTAAAAAAAAAAAAAAAATCGACTTTCGTGTTTTACGTACCTTTCTTTACCTAAACAATATGGTGCATCCACGCCGTCTAGAAATGGGGTGTCTTGGGTCTGTTCTCATCACTTCCCTATTACTGTGCATTTCTCTGTTATATACATTGGGCTTTTTTTCTATCTCAAATCATAATTTTTTTCTGACACATCCTTAGGGATTGCTCTGACAATTACCAGTGAAATTCTTTTCTTCTAGAGCACAGTGGCTCCTGCCTGTAATCCCAACACTTTGGGGACTGAGGTGGGAGGATTGCTTGAGACCAGAAGTTTGAGACCAGCTGGGCAACAAAGCAAGACCTGGTCTCTACAAAAAAATATAAATTAGCCAGATATGGTGGTGCAAACCTATAGTCCCAGCCACTTCAGAGGGACTTGAGCCCAGGATTTCAACTCTGCAGTGAGCCAGGATCACACCACTGCACTCCTGCCTGAGTGACAGAGTGAGACCCTGTCTCTTGAAAAAGAGAAAACTAAAAGAGAAAGTCCCCAACATGAGCTTCTAGCCTTTTCTGAGCTATAACCCTCCAGAACTCTGTCTATATATCCAGAAGACTGGGTAATTTATTCTAAGAACTAATCTGCTCAGTAACTCCCTGATATGGTTTGGCTTTGTGTCCCCACCCAAATCTCATGCTCAGTTATAATCCCCAGTGTTGAAGGTGGGGCCTGGTGGGAGGTAATTGGATCATGGGGGCAGTTTCTCATGGTTTAACACCATCTCTCTTGGATGAGTTGTTGTGAAATCCGGGTGTTTAAAAGTGTGTGGCCCCCCCAACTTTCTCTTGCCCCTGCTTTTGCCATGTAAGGCAGAAGTTCCTGCTTTGCCTTCTGCTATGAGTAAAAGCTCCCTGAGGCCTCCTGGAAGCAGATGCTGCCTTGCTTCCTGCATAGCCTGTGGAACCGTGAGCCAACTAAACCTCTTTTCTTCATAAATTTCCCGGTTTCAGATATTTATAGCAGTGTGAGCACAGGCTAATATGCCCCCAGGTCCCCCTCCTCCAAATCAGGTGACTGGTTTATCAATTTAATAAACTTTTTTATTTTTTTTTTTGAGATGGAGTCTCATTTTGTTGCCCCAGCTGGAGTGCAGTGGCATGATCTCGGCTCACTGCAACCTACACCTCCCAGGTTCAAGCAATTCTCCTGCTTCAGCCTCACAAGTAGCTGGGATGACAGGCGCCCGCCACCACACCCAGCTAATTTTTGTGTTTTTAGTAGAGACGGGGTTTTGCCATGTTGGCCAGGCTGGTGGTCTTGAACTCCTGACCTCAGGTGATCCGCCTGTCTCAGCCTCCCAAAGTGCTCGGATTACAGGTGTGAGCAACTGTGCCCGGCCTTAAACACATTTTTCTAGCATGTTGAGAAGGCCCTGAGTGAAGAGGACTGGGAGGAGGGGATACACGGAGCGATCAGGAGTGGGAAGTAAAATAACCTCCTTAGCCAGCGGAAGTAATGGAAAGCATTTAGAGTGGTGATTGCAACCCCTAGAACCCCAGAGGGCTGAGAACTGGGAACACTGGGATCTATTCAGCCTGTCTGCCCTCCAAGCACTGACTCCTTGGTGCATGCTTTCTCTGTGCTTCTGGGGCCCTCTGTAGTCTGCTTTTCTATTACACGGGGAAGAAGAAAGGATGCTGGGCCTGCATGTGTGTACCACACATATTCTATGAATTCTATACATTCACTTATGTAGAATAGTCTCTTTATTCTCTAATTCTCTGACTACATCTACCCAAAAGTACCCAGTCAGATTGATACGTTTCTTAGTTAATTGACTGTAAGTCTGATTTTTTTGTGACATTGCTTGGCTATAGCTGTATATTTATTTATTTTATTTAAAAATTTCAGCATTGTGATGTCATTTTTGCCTTTATAAGAGCGTTCAAAC